AATTTTCCAATTGGACCATGTTGTTTTTTCTTTTTTTCGGATTTATAAATTTTTTCTCTTTCCTTCCCTTTTTGCAATATACAAAAATGAGCGAAAATATTTCGGAAAAAATACCAAGTAATTTATATCATCTAACAAATCTATTTTATTTTCGTTGAATCTAACAGACAAATTTTCTTGCAAAACAAACAGGACTAATATTTTTGAGCATGTACATACGTACATACATATATCTAAATCTCTTTCGATATAACTTTACCGAAAGAATAGTGAAAAATATAAAAAAGATCTTATAAAAGACCTTATCTTAGTGATAAGAAAGTTATTGCCAAATATACATATATGTATACATATATAATGTGTATATGTATATATATATATATATATATATATATATATAAATAATATATTTATTTATTTATATTTAACTTTTATATATATATCTATATATTCAACATGTATGCTCGGTTTGAAATATTTGTAGTTTTATCAGTACAATATATAGCATCCGATTAAATTTTCATAATAATTACGAACGTGCAAAGCTTTCTTCTTGCCATTCCATGTAACCATATCTGCACTGAAGAGAGCAGATTCAGTGGAGGAGGACATACCCCCCACCCCCCTGTGTGAATGCTTATTCCAATATTTATTTCATTTCTTCTTTGTGAATTTTCATTTTGACAGCATTATAATTCTGCAATTAATATCAAATGTATAAATCTATTTTTCTATATATAAATCTATAATTCCATTATAGATTTAATTCCATTATAGATATAATTCCATTATTAAAATTAAAAAATTTGTCCTTTCAACATGAGAGATTTTTCAAAGTCAAAATTGGAAAGTAGAGTTTATTAATTTTCGAAAGACCATCGACCTTTTTTTATTTGAAATCGAGATTTTCCTTGTAAATCTTTTTTTTTCATTTAAGAAAGGCTAAAGAGAAAAAGAGAGAGAGAGAGAGAGAGAGAGAGAGAGATTTCTGTAAAAAATGTGGTCCCACTTATATTCTTTCTAATAGCTTTATTTTATTTTTGTTAAAAGAAAATACGGTCTATTCATTGATGACTATTTAATATAATTGGTTGTGATTTCTAATTCATGTACTCTGTCTTCCATCATCACATTATTATTATTCGAAACCTTTTAATATAATTATTTTGTTTATTGTTTTATTTATTTAATACCAAGTAACACGTAAACAACTCATAGCTAGCTCTCAGCACTAAGTACTGAACCTTTTTATGAAGACAAAAATTTGAAGAATTATTTACAAGATTAGAAGTAACCGTTTACTGAGTTAGTTTTAATAAAATAATTAAAGAAAAAACGAAAAATGTTATACTTCAGAAGTAGATTTCATTACCTAATGTATTTATCTACATGTAACATGTATCACATGCAACATTAGGTATGTTTGTATTTACATATTTCTTGGAAACCCTATTTTCTTTAATGAATCACATAAAATCGTTGAAAAGAGATCTACTCGGAAAGAAAGTGACAGCTGCATGTTTATGATAAGATTAAAAAATATTATTTCAAAAGCAACAGTAAATTTCGTACCGTTTTAAATAAAATAATTACGTTATTTAATCTTGATTTTATTTGTTCTTGTTCTCATAGATCGATTAAAGAATTAAATATAGACTGTATTTTTATTTTTTGAATTGCTCGGTTCAAATATTTGATCTGCGATTTATAAATACAAAATATTTTATTTGATTCCATCGGCAAAAAAGATTCGCCATCACTGATATAGTGCATATACATTCTATTACGTTACGGTAAAAGAAAAAGAAGGAAAAGAGATGGGCTGAGCGATGAAACTGTAAAGCCACTCCCAGTAAGTTGTAAAATCGTAATAGTCTTCCGGTATTTACATAATGCTACGGCATAATAAGTGGAACTTTCTGAGTTTCCATTACCATTCCGACGGTATCCGCTCTTATCTTCGCTAACGACTATTTCAGTTCTCCTTTCCCCACTGCTGCATTCGCGACGCGTCATCCACGACTTATATTTTTCACCTTATTCTTCGGCAGTGGCCGTTTTGCGAGGAACGTTGAGAAATACTTTCCCTGGTTGAAATTCGAATTCTTTTGTTACCATCGTAAAACGTTCCAAGCGTTCATTGAGATCGCCACCTACACTTTCTTTTTCTCTTTTACTTTTTTCTATCTTTTATTTCATCTTCAAAGAAATCAGCGACGAATCAGAGACCCAACGCCCGAGAGAAATCTCACAGTTTTTCGCGAGCAATCAAAAAAGAGTTTTCGCGGATGAGAAGAGAGCGTCTTTCTTTCTTATTATATCTTCTTTTCGTTTCTTTTCTTTATTTCTTTTCTTTCTGTTCATCTCTTTTTTTTTCATCTTCGAAGCAATCCCTTTCGAAGCACGTCTCGTTTGCACGACAATGCGCTCATTAAGAAGCGCTGCCGTGTAGCCGAGTCCACGGCGGTTTTCCAAGCGATGGAGCGTAATAAAATTTCAACGTTATTTCGAGCGAGCACTGGGCCCCATTTCTTAGGCCGAAACTTGTTCGTCTGTGTCAGGGATACCAACGAACTTGAATTTCTTCTCTCGCCGCTTTCGAGGTTGCTAAGGAGGAGAAGGAGGGTGAAGAGGGTGGAGCGGACTGTGGTTAGCTTCATTCGAATAAGTGCTTTCCTCTTTTCTCTATGTTTCTTTCTCTCCTTTCTCTTTTTATCTCTCTCTCTCTTTCTCCCTTTCTCTCTCTCTCTCTCTCTCTCTTTCCTCTCCCTCTCTCTGTCTTTCTCCCTCCCTCTCTCACTCACCCTCTCTCACTCTCCCTCTCTCTCTCTCTCTCTCTGCATAAGATCTTCCTTTTATAAGACGAAAGAGAAATAGAAAGCGAGCTTTCCGTCGACGAAATCGGGCCAAGTCGTTTATTTAATTTTCGAGATCCGACCATTTTATTTTCATCCCCGAGACTTTATACATTTTGCTGATTAGCCGATCCCTCTCGGATGAGCTCACGAGTACTCAGTAGCTCTCCCTCTTTTCTATTCCTCCTGTGAAATGAGCAAGCGAGAACGAGTGGCATCAGGAACAACCATCCGAAGGGATAGAGGAAAAAGAGATAGAGATAGCGAGAGCAAAGTAGAGTGGGCTCAAAAAGGTGGAAGTAACTTGGATTCAGGAATGCAGAGGTGGAAGGACGTGCGTCCGAGACTTTGCGTTACTCACCGGATATAGAGAGGTCTAAGCCCAGCCATCACTGAAATTGCCCAAGTTTACCTCTTCTACCTTCTTTCCCCATATTTAGCTTTACTCTACTTTTTCCTCTCCCTCCTACTTTTATTTCCTCTCTTCTTTTCTTACCTTTCCTCCTTCTACTTAAAATCTAATTCTCTTTCTTTGGAGATCAGCCTCTTTCCTTTTCTTTATTTCTCTTTCTTTCTCTTCCCTTCGCTCTCTCGTCATTAACCGCACGAGTCTCGAAACTGTAAAACGTTCTACTCTTCTCTTTATCTTTCTTTGCTTTCTTTCTTTCATCGTATTTCGAACTCTATTGCGATACGATCGCATTATCAAGATTCTAAGAATTAAGTGTACCAACTCGCCATTTTTCTCTATGTCTTTCTCTCTTTCCCTTTGTAAGTTTCGTGAGCGAGAGCCCGAGAGAGCGCTTTGCATTTCTATCTTTTCCTCATCTCCGTCCCCTGCCAAGATTTTTGTATTAATTCACTTTCTTGCAATTGATTCATCTCGTTTCGGAGGATCAAGGAGTCGCTTTCATTCCATTATTTCATAATGCAGCCACTCGACCGGACTGTACGTACATTCAATTCACTTAACGTATTCTCCCGTACTCTTTCCAACGTATCTCAATCTTTCTTTCTTTCTTTCTTTCTTTCTGTTTCTATCTTTTCTTTATATTCCTGCTTTTTCTCGCCCGCACCCACGCATTGTAGTCTTCCATTCAATAACGAACTCAATGATATAATGCAATGAGCAGTATTTTAATAAGAAACTTCGAAATAGATAACCACATATAATCAAATAGTATCGTAACATTGAGAATTTACTTTTCTACGAAAAAGAAGGTATATGTTCAGTCAATCCTTTTTAATACAATTTCACAATATAATTCTTAATCTTTGGAAATCTTTCGACGTGAAAGTTGTCTTGGTTCATTTTTTTGGACAAATTGTTTCTCTTTTTCTTTCTGTTTTATGTTGTATATCTATACATATTTAAATACGTAGATACGTACATAAACGAATAGAAAACTCTTACAATTCATGGTAGAAAAGAATAGAAAGTGAAAGAATAGAAAATGAAAAAGCAAAGAACTTTGTCACTATGAGGGATACCCACATGTTTTCTGTTTTCTCACCCCACTTTTCCTTTGACCATGAACTTTCATGCCCTATTTTTCCCATTTTACATATCGTTTAGCAATCTTTATCAAGCGATATTTTTGTGATTTACTGTTGCTGTTACTACGTCCTGTGATTTAAACACAGTAATCCGTATTAAAATTTCTCACGGAAGTTAAATTTTTCAAGTGTTTATTGTTAGTAACGAACGTAATTGGTAACGTGCAATGATGTAGATAACACTTAGGCTGCGTGCGCATTATTGATCAGTCGCCGGTGACCAGGTCGAAACGAAAGACCAAAAAACTAGGCTACCGAACTTGGCGATTTCAATTCATCAGTATCATAATGTCCAGTTTCAGTAGCGAGTTTTCGCATAAGCAGTTAAGACGGTTGCATCAGGCTTCTTGAAGGCTACATTCGCCAGAATCTGATCTACAAAAAGGTTATTTATAGTGTAAATGCGTGCATTTGATTCAACTTATTTCACTGATTGCAGCGATTAGAGAGTTGCTCGTGTTTTCTTGATTGCATACATACAATTTTATATGATTGTATGCATACACATATTAATTATAATGTACACATATTAATGAATATATCTTGAAAGTATTTTAAATGTAATCAAATGTATTTATTGTGTTGCAGATGGTGACGAGGACAAAGAAGATATTCGTCGGTGGGCTATCGGCACCGACGACGCTGGAGGACGTCAAAAATTATTTCGAGCAGTTCGGTCCGGTGAGTAATCAAATAGATCTTGTCCATCAAACGCGATTATACAGTTCTCTTGTATACATATGTGTACGCAGATAGATACGTCGTTTTTATCGTGATCGGCGATCGAATCGATATACTGGCACGATTTTCAGTAAATTTACTCTATACATAGATGCTTCTCACAGGATGTCAAAACGCGTTACATATCACGCTACGATATCATTCGTAAAACGACGCGTTACGTTAGCTCATCAAAGTTACTATTTTTAATAGATGTCATAGTTGCGTCGTATTCTGTACGCGTTTAAATTATCTATGTATCTCGCTTTTTCTTTTGCTGCTTTGACCTAGCATTACGGATAACGATTGTCACGAAACTCGGTTCGATCGAACTGTGTTTATATTTTCGTCAGGAGGCCTGAAAACGAGCTGAATATATGAGTGACCACCGTGCAAACACTCGCGAACGTTTCTCTATTTTCGGTTATTCGAGGGCTTCCTGCGATGTCACCCGGCCGATTTCCAAATGTCGAACAAAACACATCGGATTCGACGGACATAACCGGACTGACGTCGTTACTATTCATCGAACTTTGCGTCGTTTATTATATTCTTGAATAATCTGGTTGCATCGTGACGCCATTTGTGATTTCATTTTTTTGCCTTTCCTTATCGCAGATACGCAACGAGAAATAATAATACGTGTGCGGAAATGGGCTTCGCATCTACTATCTATTTTTGTTTAATTAATTGTTCTTCCTTCTGTTACCAATTCAATAATGGTTATTAAAATTATTTATTGATAAAAATCGCATATTAAATGAAAATCGATAACGAGAAAAAGAAGGATTATATATATATATATATACATCCGATAGTTGACCAATCATTTTCAAGAATGAATAAAATCTTTATGTTACCAATTTGTATAGCATATCAAAAATTTCAAACTCTTATTCTTATTGTATGTATTTTTCGTTCTATTAACTCGGAGGATAAGAAAACGTATTTATTTTTGTTGTATAAAGATTAGATGATATTTATAGATTCATCGCGTCATCATCTTAAATCGAATTGACCTATTCATCGGTGAAATACAAAAGAACTTCTCATTCGTTCCTGTTTATAAATTGCTATTCTTGGGTATTTATAATTGTAACTCTCGAGCATAGGTCTGCGTGCAAAGGACATATCGGTCTTTGTTATCGTTCGAGGTAAAGTTTAACGATTGATATGCATGATTCAACTCGCAAGTGATACGTTCCGATTCATGCTTCAAGCGATTTCTACGAACGAAAGCACTCGACTCTGTGGCCGACATGAAGAATCCTTCGTATTATTATTCCGAAAATTACGACATGATAATTTTAGGCGAAATACATCGAAGTTCAAAAAGCGATTTTGAACCAAAGTGAGTGCTACAAATTCGGATATTAATTTCAACTATTAAGTATGGCAATTCAACGGAGCTGGAACATGGAATTGATTGGCGATAGTTCGATCTTGAAGTTTCTCCATCTTTTCACCGATTTGCATCTTATAACACTGAGTTGGACTAAACATTAACCTGAGCATCATAAACTTCCTTTCGAAATCCTACGGAGAATCTCGAGTGCTCGAGACGGTACTCCATTTCTAGGTAAGCGATGAGAAGTTGTTGAAAGAGGCCACCTGAGACGAGGATCTCTGCTAATTAGACTCTATCGACTCGTGACACTATAGAAACGATTACGTGCTATTGTGTGAACTTTTCAAGAAGGTTTGTCATTCCGCCGGTAACAATACTCACATGATTCATTGCAATTTCATTTCCACGACGTGACAATAACCGCATTTATGCGTTTTCATTCTTGGCTTCGATTCATGAACAGTTGATACGAATGACTTTTGACAAATTAATCGATCAATGCTCGCTAATAAAACTAATGACATGTTTCCTAAATAGCGCTAATAGAAGTGAAACTTTTTTGGCCTCAATTCGTTATTTCAGAAGTTTTAAAAGAAAATAAAACGGCACGTAAAGAAGAAATTAATCGATTAAACTCTCTTTATACCGAATATCAGCGATTGCCTTCAAGAATCACGATCATTCTTTGAAACTCTTTCTATAATTATCGTTATAGTTTCTTAGACAGCAAACGCATAGTTGATGAATGACGAGCATTCGATGGCCCCAATATCGTTTATCATTGACAGAAGTCCAAGTTCCCACGATGGAAATAGTACGACGAAACTCGAAACTGCTATCGTTATATGACGAGGCAAACGTAGCTATTCGCTTGAAATACACCAGTGAAATAATTTATTGGGAAACTTGATTTCTATTATTTGGTTCGTAGTTACTTTTAAAAGTAACTCTCAGGTGACACTCGAAGAAATTTCGCAAAAGGGTCGAATGAAAGAATGGAGAGAAAGGAAAGAGAATTATAAGATGAGAAAGAAGAAAAGAAAAAGAGAGGAAGAGTATGTTTCGATTGTAGCTTGAGCCAAAAATGGATTTGAGATATCGGAACTATCTCAAATCCATGGTTCCTATCTCCGGCTTAAATCACCGCAATCTCTCTCTCTCTCTCTCTTTCTCTCTCTCTCTTTTCTCATCTCTTTGTCCTTCTCTCTCCCGACTCTCTTCACCCTTTCGTTTTGTACCAAAAGTCTCGTCTGGTATTGAATGCAGAATTTCCGGCTTGTGTAGTGGGTCGAGTTGGCCTTCCCGTGTCTGACCCATATCTGAAGATACGATCAGGGCACATTACACGCACACACACACCTACTCACATGAAACCATTTCAGGCTTCGATTCCTACGAATGAAGCACATGGTACATACAACGAACGCGCATATATCGGAAGAAGAATGTAAACACACATGAAGGAACATCCCACAGCTTACATGTAACACTCACATACACATATACAAAGATATATACATATGGAAGATTTCACCATCGAGATCCCGTTTGTAATCTTATATCGCATCCCGGATTCTCCGAATCGAGATCTCTTTCTACCTCTCGATACTCATCTTCTTTCGACTAGTAGAGGGTTGAGAGATACATCGAAGGATGGGAAATAGAAAAAAAATAAAAAACGAGAGAGAAAAAGAAAGAGAGGGCGTAAGATTCCTCTCGGGTAAACTCGTGAAACTCCCTGGTTAGTCGAATAAAACTAGATGGTACTGCCGGTAAGTGTGTTACATTTATTTGATCCGTCAAGTTCCGTCGTAAGAAAGAAATCTTATCTTCGTATCTGCTACCGCCAGACGGACGTAACTTCGTAGTCCAAGCTTTTGTATCTCGAGTAGAGTCTATCGTTTCCTGATCTTATTGCATTAGAAGAATAGCGTGGTTCCTTGGATACTCAAGAAGTCAGTATTTTCTATGTGATCTTAAATGTGGTCCATCTCTTTCATTCGAGATTCAGATTCATTGTCATTGATTGAACAAAATTTTTCTAATGAAAAACAAATAACGCTATATATATGATATGTAGCATCGATAGTTTGTCTCAGGTTCGATAAATTGACGAATCAAACCTTCGTTTCCTCGAGCGACCATCGAGTTTTTTTCGCGGCATATCGAAACCGAGGGTTGCACGCGATTTAAAACTTAAATGAGGGTGTCCGAGAACGTTACTTGAAAAATGAATGGATCCCCAAAGACTGAGAGCTTAATTGCGCTCGCTTTCAACTTCCAACTTCCTTCCTTCGATGGTCGATGCAATGGAGGAAGGAAATGGATGGCTAAGGGATAGGAAAGACGTAAGGAGAACGTGGAAGTAGTTACGCCGTTGAGACCTCTTTGACGTGATAGTTAACGGTCGACTTGAAATTAAGAAATTAAGAATTAATATGACTTACGACTTGGTCAAATCCTCTAAATTCTTCTCTTTCAACATCGCTTTCACATCTTTTACTTATAATATATCTTTTCCTTTGAGTAAACTAGTTTCTATCAGAGAATCGTTCATGGAAATTAGCTCGTCCTAAAATTCTCTCGGAGAGATCAATTTAAGATAAAAGAAACGATGAAAAATCAGTACGAAATTCTTTGATAAAGAAAAGCAAATATAAAAGTTCACATTGATATTTCGACTTAACGGTATTTCTCGTGCAAATCGATATGTTAATTAGAACGCTTCAAAATATTTTCCTATATCGTAGAACGAGACGGTACAAAAGGACAATTGTGATTAAACTCTTTCTCATAAAAGTTTATTCGTAAAGATCTCCTTTTCGTTTTCGAACTCCATTTTCTTCATCTTATCTTAAGGAATCCAAATATTTTTTGAAATTAACCTTATACTCTTATCCATCGACTCGACGGAGTCCTTCTTGATTCGTTGCATTCAAGGTCGAGTGATACCAATTCTCTCTCTCTCTCTCTCTCTCTTTTTCTCTCTCTCTTTCTCTTTCTCTTTCTCTCTCTCTCTTTCACAGGGTATTCCTCTCTTTCGTAAAGCCATGCTTGCGTGGGTGAATAAATAAATTTAATGGCGCTTGTCACGTAGCAAAACGGGATAAATTCCGGGCGCCTGACAGCCATTTAAAACAATGCCGTCGCGAATACACGCCATTTGTAACCCGGTGCTTTTGTTTCACGTTGCTATTCATTCTGGCACCCCTTCATCGCCACCCTCTCTCCGCTTTTCCACCGACATCTCCTCCACTCTTCCTCCTCCCATCTATTCTATATCCGCCAGCGCCACCATCGTCCGGACGACCGAGCGAAACCGGTACCATCGTTGATCTCGATAGCGACCACGCTTGCATCGAATTCGTGCTTCACTTTTCATCTCGATACAAATGCAATCGAGTCTCCCCGCCGATAAGACTAGAACACGATGCTTGATGTTCGTCAAACGATACCTTTGTTTTCCGATCGAATATAGTAACGATGAAAACGATTAATGAGTCATTAACGAATGTTACGATACTTCGAACAGGCAGCGCTCAACGATCACTAATGAAAAATCGAACAAACGGTTAATTATTTGCCGCAGTTCTCTCACAATGACTAGAATTAT